GATAGATAGATAGATAGATAGATAGATAGATAGATAGATAGATAAAGCATATTATCTGCTGTTTTTGTCCTGAGACCACTGGTTGCAGCTGAGTCATGGCTTACTGTTTTCGCAGTTGTTGTTGTTGTTGTTGTTGTTGTTTTTTTTTTAACAGAATCTGCTTAGAGCAAGCGGTTTGTTCTTGGTGAATTTTTAAACAAGTTATGTAAAATAAAGGGATTTTAATGAAATGTGATTATAAGCTTAGATTTGATCAGTTTTTCCAATAGAATTGCATGTCACAGATGAGTAGTCCAAGGACCATTGGAAAGTTTATTATTATTATTTAAAAAAAATATATATATAGTTTCTGGCTTTGATTAATTAAATTATATAATATTGTAGATTTAAAAATAAAATCATTCCTTTCAAACCTGGTAAGTTTGGGGATTCTGAGAGATAAATCTGTAAGTCTCAGCAGCCTCCAGTTGTGTGTGAATTGAGGCTTAGTTCACACAGACGGGTTTGTCACTTCTCTCTTTTGTAGCCTTTGAGCCTGCATGTGTGAAAGCGGTGTAAAGGTGACGTTACATCCTGTCTTATTGTAACCTGTGGCTGAAGAGTGTAGGATTTACCCATATTTAACTTTTGCTCTGTAAACACCCACTAGAAAAATGGGATTATGAGCTTAACAGTACATCAGCAGCAGTTGTTCAGGTTTATTTTTCTGTCGTAAATGTGTGCTGATGCTTTAGGGCTTTGAACTAGCAACTGAGCTCAGGGGTTTTTAACACTAACTGAGACGCCTTTAAAAACTTCAAAGAAATGATAATATCCTCTGTAATGTAAATGTATTAATTTGATTTTGGTGGCTGGCTCCACACAAACATACACACAGAACGATGTGCACAATCTGTATTCAGCCTATCGTAAATTATTCATGAGGGATGTTGCTATATGGAGTTGTATGAGACACCATTTCCTGCACAGTCTCAGACTCTAGTTTCACAATGTGTCACATTACAGCTGTATTGATTGGGCTTGAGCCTCTGTGGGGATTTACTTGGCTCCAGATGATGATTAAAAGTCTCCTTCTTTCTCTCAGATTTCCCGTCTCTTTCTCTTTCTGCTGTTCTATTCCAGGTAAACATGCAGAGGACATATTTGGCGAGCTGTTTAACGAGGCCAACACCTTCTACCTGCGTGCCAACTCTCTCCAGGATCGCATTGACCGGCTGGCCGTCAAGGTCACGCAGCTGGACTCCACTGTGGAGGAAGGTGGGTCAAGGGTTAGACGACCGAAGTCGCAAGCACTGCAAGTCATCCATCACTGTTGAAGTGCTGCTTGTGTTTTTGTTTTTCACTTTGTCTACTTACTGAATGCCTTTTTCTTTTCACTTTCCATTGTTAGTTTTTTTCTTTTTATCCTTTCTTCCACCTTTCAATAGAGCGATCATTTGATGAGTCATTGGTCCTCTCTTTCCCTTTTTGTGCTCTTAGTTTCTCTGCAAGATATCAACATGAGGAAGGCCTTTAAGAGCTCCACCACTCAGGACCAGCAGGTGGTGTCCAAGAGCAGCGTGCCCAATCCCGTCAGAGAGATGTACAACCTGAGCGACAAGCCTCCACCTCTCAGCATCCTCTCATCTTACAGGTTGGTGTTTGACAGCTGGCGTGCTTTTCCACCACAGTCACTGTCACATTTTCTGAACATAACTATATCTAGAGTCACTTTGCAATGAAGACTTCCTCAGTCATTGTTCCAGGTCATCTGTGGGTATTATTGAAAACCATTGCAGCTCCAAATTGACACTGGTTCCAAAAAAATAATAAAACAGAACAGATTCATGACACCAGGTGAAGCTCCTTGTATCATTTTTGTCTGTAGTTTGTACAGCATTTGTGCTTTAAAATGCTGGAGTTGTTTCATTTCTGTAGTTTAACTGCTTGACATAAATGAGATGTTTGCACAATATAGATGTAGTTTTACAATGTGAAAAAACTAAAATATTTGTTCAGATTTACAGGATACAATGAAGACCTCATGATAACTATTAAATCAACAGTGGCATACATATATACTTTTAAAATTATGTTTAATTTTAAAATCTCTTATGTTTCCTCAACAAAAGGCCTTATAAGTTAAATACATTTACAAAGTCTTAACGACTCTTTCTTGCAAAATTTAAAGGAGCAGAAACTACCCATGTGTGGTCATTTCATCCACATATTTTCTGCAGCTTATCTTGGTCCTTTTTACACAAATTCTTTAAAATGTTTGATTCTAAGTTATTATTGTATGCTGCTCACAAGTACTGAAATATGATTATTTACAAGAAAGAGGTGGAGCTGTGACAGTTAATAATAACTCTGAGCCGAAGTTTCTCTACTTGTTCTCCTTTGTATTTTTATACTTTGGTCAGTGTGACTGTAAAGCAGGTGTTAAACCTCAGTGGCGTTAAAAAAAAAAAGTTCTTAAATTTAACTTGAACCCTGCAGAAACTGTTCAAAGTTGTCTTTAGATTTTTGCTAGTTTCTGACCTATATCCACAGTGAAACAGCAGATTTGACACTACATCCTTCCACATTTGGTAGCTGCTTTTATGCAGTGTGCTTTCCAGTACATGGGTGCATTATATATTTAGCATGTCAGGCTCCAGTGGGAATCTTAACTCCTCACGCTGACTACATGGCACACTTTACTCACTTTTTTCTCCATTCCGTCGGCCTCTCTACCTTTCCATTTTTTTATCCCGTCATTTCCATTTGTGCTGTCTTTGATAGAAATGCAGGTGCCCCACTCACAATTTCACTCTTGTTCTTCCATCTGCCTCCCCCACTTTTGCAATATTCATATCTTTACATGTTTTATTCCCAGCTTAGTCGTCTTACAAATACACTGAGCTAAGAAATGCTACTATTGTGCCTACCTTCTGGTTCTACCTAAACAGTAACCATGCACTACTGATTCTACTTCCGGTACTTTTATGTATGAAGACATTTGTATACCAACTTTCGGTGTTTGTCACTGTAGGGATGACCACAAGGAAGCACTTAAGTTCTACACCGACCCCTCCTACTTCTTTGACCTGTGGAAAGAAAAGATGCTGCAGGACACTGAGGACAAGAGGAAAGAGAAGAGGAAGCAGAAGGTAAAATACTGGCCAAGAGTATCTCACACATCTACGGGTTGATAAATCATAACAGTTCATTATGTTCAGGATTAAGATTTGATTTGCCTGTCAGCTACTGGTGCACACTGATGGTGCTCCTTCCCAGAGTTTTACAGTTTGAGTTGTTGACCAAACAGATTTTATAACAAAATAATGTTATCAGGGTGGTCATGAGGACACAAAGCATATAGTACTTTTGATTGGCCCACAGTCTGTCCATAGATGTACATAATCAATAAATATGTCAAGCAACTGTTTAAATGTTAATAGTTAACTGGTTAGTAAAATCTAAAATAGATTGAAACTCTTTCTCTATCCTTCTTCCAGGAGCAGAGGCGTTGTGTGGATGGGACATTACAGAGAGAGGTTAAGAAGGTCCGCAAGGCGAGGAATCGTCGGCAGGAATGGAATATGATGGCTCTGGATAAAGAGCTGAGGCCAGACCATCGACACACCATCCACCGAGACAGAGGGGCTTCCTCTGAGGGCTCAATGTCACCAGAGAACAGGTATGTGTTGTATTTCCTCATTTTCCTCACCAGACACATTACATGTTTACATATCGGTCTGGTGTCAAACATCCTGCAATGTGCTGTATTGTTAGGGTCCGAGCACCCAAAGAGGGTGCGAAGACTCTATTGGAACTGCTAGGGTTTATTATTATTTCTTCATGACAATGAAACGCGTTTTTGAAGTACACAATGTAATCACACTCTCACCAAACTCGACACACACATCAGACCCGGCGAAAAATTTTATAATTAGGGGGAAATCCTCACCTCAATAGCAAAATGGCTCAACAGCGCCCCCTACAAAATTACAAAAAATGGGCCCCCGAACACACTTTCACGTACAGCCACGAAATTCGGCACACACATGTAACAACTTGAGACGCACAAAAAAGCCTCAAGAACACATACCCGAAACTCAACAGGAAGTCGGCCATTTTGAAAAAAATGGCAGCTCGCCGCTGAAAATCGGCCATTTATGGCCGATTTTCAAAATTTACCTCCTCTAGGGGGTAAGTCGTACACACCTGAAATTTGGCCAGCACAAACTACACGACGTGGTGATTAAAAGTTATCAAAACGCTCCGCAGATGAGGCCCGGTTTGGAAATGGCGGCCCGTGCAATATTGATCAATGACCATTTTCGCTGAAAATCGGCCATTTATGGCCATTTTGCCCATTTTTTGGGTGTTTTCGGCATTCAACGGGGTGCTGTCGGAAGGCCGTTTCATCTACACCTACAAGATTCGGTGGGCATGTGTAGCAGGTTGGGACGCACACCGACTGTCTCAGTCGCACTCCTGTGAGAAGTGAGGACCCGACCAATGCCGCTTGCGGCTTTAATTTTCGAGTGGGCGTAAAACTAACTGCTCATCTACTGGCTTCTAAAGAACCAAAAAAAGAAAACAAAAACAAAAACAACAAAAAAAGAGAAAGAAATAGAAAGCTTTTGAGGGGGACCAAATTTGTCCAACTGTTCAGTCTTTACAATCCACTTAATTTGCAGAAACATATCAGATATAATAGCCTACCTTTATTAACATGCATAAAATACAACATTGAAGTTCTTATATTTTGTTTCCTTAACATTGATATATACTGCTGTGCTTCTCTGTACACACACTTTGATAGTGGAATAAGATACATGTCTTTCCTCAGGTAGTAGATTCCTAGACTATCGATCACAAGAACATACTGACGTCACACTAGTCCAGGAGGCGGACACAGGAGCCGCTAAACGGTTTCCCCCCGAATCTTTTCAGAGAATTTTGATTTTAGATTCCAAATAAAATGCAGCAGGATTGGGCCGATTTGAAACGTTTAAAAATTCAGGGTACGGCAAAACACAGGCTTTGCTACAAGTGCTCTTAGAAACCCAGCGTATGGTGAAGTTTTGAAATCAGCCCCCGGAGGATCGAGCCGACGAACCGACTGGAACTTCTCGAGGCTGATTTTCTGTTCAGCTGCATCAGATTCTACTAAGTGTGTGCAGAGGAAATGACTAACATCACCAATCCTGGGTTGAAAAAAAAAAAAAACTCGGGGAACCGACAAAACTCCGGGAAACAGACAAAAACCGACACAAGTTAAAAAGCTTACATAGGGTGTCATAGCTTAGGTTTGCTGTAAATACGGGTAAGTACATGAAATCCTCTTCAAAGTCAACTATCTTGTATTTTTAGTTGAGTTTACTGATGAGGCACTTCCTTGTTTGTCACATGACCAAGCAGTCAGCTGACCACAGACAGGAAGTTTAAGCGGTAAAAAGTTCGGTATTTTGTTATGTTTTATTGATTTTATCTTGTATTTTACCACGTTTTTCTAACCGTTCGTGCACATAGATTTATTTTTTTAAACCGTTAAATTAGCACTTGTATTATTTCAGATCTTTACTCTAAAAAACTTGATCATAACTGTAAATAATGTCCACATTTAAACATCTAATTATTAAATCAAAATAATTGTTAAATAATTTCCAGATATTTG